ACTCTCCCCCCGGCGGTCGCCTGCCGCGCGCCTCAGGCCGACACGCCGCTCGACGGCATGTCGGGCTACCAGTCTACGACCGAGAGGTGCTCGAGCCGGCGGTGCTGCGGCCGGGTGCGGGCGCGGGTGCTGGCAAGCCAGGCCTTGCGGGGAGGCCTGCCCCGCAGGACCGCGCCCCTAGATGCCGGAGGACGGACCCGTGTCTTCCTCGAGAGGACACGCACTCCGCTGCACTCGGCTGTACTCTCGGTACTCGTAGCCCCCTGTGTTCCTGCGCTGCTCTGCATACACTGCAGGAGACCGTGTGCACACCATGACGTTGGCGTCCTCACGCCGCAGGACCGCGTCACCCTGATTGGCGACGCGGCGCATCCAATGACGCCCTTCAAGGCGCAAGGCGCAAACCAAGCCCTGAGTGACGCGGTCCGCCGCTTCTCGCTCCTCCGCCGCCGCCACGGGAAGGTGCGTGAGCCGTGCGCGACGCCGTTGGTACTTAGGTGCTGCTCGCAGAGGCACTCGTGCAAGGGGTCCGCGAGCACGGCGCGTTGGCCGGCCTGGACGCGGCGCTCCCGCTCTTTGAGCGGCGCATGCTCAGCCGCTCGGCGCGCGTGGTGGTCGGCTCTCGCGAGAAGGCGAAGGAGCTCCACAGCAGCCTGGCGCTGCAGCCCGGCCGCAAGGTGCAGCGCGACACCGGCGTCGACATGCCCCGCGTGGTGCGGGCGCTGCGCGCGGGCGGCATCGGCTCCGGCAGCGCGACCGACCCGCGAGGTCTGGACGCCGTGGTTGCGGAGGTGGTGGATCGGACCAGCGCCTCGGCGCGCCTCTGCGCGCGGCGGCGGAGGCCCCTCACAGCTCGGCGCTCACCTCGCCTCTCTCTGATGTGACAACGGTAGGCAAGCCACGCCGCCGAGCTGGACGCGATCTTTGGGAAGCGGCCCGCCGCCCCGCCGGCCGACCAGGCGCCGCCCAAGCGGGCCAAGCGGGCGCAGTGTTCGGCGCTCGGCGCCCCGGGGGCGCCCCCTTTGGACGCGGACGGCGCGCACTTCGAATGGCGGGAAACCATGCGCGCGCTGCTCGAGACGGCCGGAGAGGCTGGCCTCCGACGCAAGCGATTGCGGAAATTGGTGTTGCGGCTCTATTTGCGCCATCTCTCCCGCCAGCCCGAGGCGGCGCGCGAGGAGGTGTGCTGGTGGCGGGCGCACCCGGCCGAGCTCCAGGCTCTCTTCCGCAAGCACCTCCGGGCGGCCAAGGGGGTCGGGCTGGTGAGAACGCAGGGCAAAATGGTACGTGCGGGCTGAGGTTGTGTGGAGGGGAGCAGATCAGATTGGTCGACCTAGACGTTCGACCCGACATTCGGTAGCATGTCCGATGTCCCAATCAGAATCACCCACCTCTGACCTCTGACATCCTTGGGTTTGTTGTTTACTCAGTTGCGTTGGCGCGGCCGTCTGGCGGCCGTATAGGCGTATTGGCTGCGTATACTGTGTTTTATCGCCGATCGGACGTGCCCTCGACCCTCGTGCGACCGTTCGACCTTCGTGCTCGCCAAAAGAGGCGCAAGGGGTACTGTACTGCTACTGTTAAAAAATAAGTACAATACAGGGTTCGCGAGAGGGGGGTCGCCGAGAGAGGCGCCCAGGCGCCAGGGGCAGGGCGCGCGGGGGGAAGCTCGGTGTCGGTCCTCGGAAGCGGCAAAAAGTTTAGGGAAAAGCGGAGAAGGCCCCTCTCGCCTCGGGCGAAAAAGGGTAAGTCCCGCGCCCACGACACCAGCACGACACCCCTGTGGCTCCAATGTGAACACGCACAGGACACACACATACACACACATCACACTGAGACACCAACTTCAAAAGTACCCGCGATCATCGTACAGCGGCCCCCTTTGCTGGGCACCGACTCGTCTCGGGCCCGGATGACAGGTTCTCAAGGTCCGCACCGGGCAGCTCGCGAGCCCCGCCTTGGCGAACGACGGGTGCAACGCCACGAGCTCCTTGCACGGGTCTTCGGGGATCGCGGCGGCAAACGGGAAGGCGACGGCGAAGTTGGCCGCGAGCTTGTCGGCCGTGTCGGCGCCCGCCGCCATGAGCGTGCCTGGGCTGTGCTCGTCGGGCGCGAGCGTCACGTCATAGCGGCTCCCCGGCGGCTCGGGGAGCTGACGCCGCGCGCGCTTGAGCGCGATCATGACCGAGAACGACGAGAAGGGCGCGCCGATGAAGCGGTCTGCCCTGGAGCCGATCTCGAAGTCGATCATGCCGACGGCGTCGTCCATCGTCGCCAGCAGCTCGCTCGAGAGCATCCCGCGCAGGACGGTACTGCCGAGCAGCGTCACCTTCGAGTGGACGCGCACCCCCGAGCCGAGCTGCAGCTCGATCACGCGCGTTGCCGCCTCGTCCTGGTCGCCAAGCACGAGCACGTGCGTGCGATTAGGCTGGCCGGCGGCGTGCTGCTCCGCCGCCTCTTTCGCCTCTAGCCCGATCAAGCGCTCGATGGCGCCGACCCGCTCCTCGAGGGAGCGGCGGGGAGGAGGCGGCGGCGGCGGGGCGGCGGCCTGCTCCACGGTCATGGAGCAGCCCATCGTTCGTCCCTCAGACTGTCCTTTTTGCTTCCAGTGCTTCCTCAGCCGCGCGAGATCGCCCTGCATGGACTTGAGGTCAGCGTAGCGCTCGGAGTAGCACTCCAGATCGCGTGAGGTGACCTCTGCCGGCCTTGACTCGGTCGCCGCGCTGAGGCTGGCCTCCAGCCGCTCGACACGCCGCAGCAAATCGCCGCCGCCGCCGGCCGACTCGCTGCTGCCTCTTCTCCTTCTCCTCCTCCTCCTTCTTATTCTTCTTCTTCTTCTTCGCCGCCGCCGCCACCTCTGTCTGGTATAGCCCCAGCCGACTCCGCGTGAACTCTCGAGGGATCTCGAGTTGCTCCCTGCTGCTCGGTGTACGAACTCTGTTCACACCGAGCAGCTGGGAGTGGCTGCGGCTATAGCAGACAGCCGCCACCTCGCACCGCGACACCCGACGCGCCAGCGCCTTCCCCGCGTCCACCCCTACGAGCGCGCGGATGACGCCGGAGCGGTAGGCGGCGGTGTCGAGCTTGTGCTCCGAGCGGCTCATGTCCGTCTCCGCGCTCCAATGCAGCGCTAGCGTGTGCGCGTGCCCGCCCGGGCCGATGCCGGCGGAGTCGCGGAAACGCGAGAGGGCGGCGGCGGCGACGCCACGCATCGCGGTGCTCGTGATGAGCGCATTGTTCACGCGGCGGAAGAGCTGGCGCGCGCGGAGCACGAAGAGCACGCAACAGTCGGAGGGGCCGCCGAAGCTGATCCGGCGCAGCGGCTTGCCGTCACTGCTGACGAGGCGGCCGGTCATCGCGAGGCGCTCGAGCTGCGACGCGGCGATCGGCATACGCAGCGGACGCGGCTTGCCGCCCTCGTCGGCGTGGACGCGGCAGACGCGGCAGCTCGACTGGGGAGACACCCTGCCCGTCGCATTGAGCGCGCTCAGCGCCGCGTCCCGGTCGAAGATCTTCCAAATCGGGAGGACAAGCTCGTACTGCTTGTAGCACGTGACGTCAAAGTGGCAGCTGCGCCGTGTGGCGAGCATCGACGGCAGCTGCACACCGCCGCGCCGATGAGCATCGCGCCGACGATGTCTGACACGAGGCGCATGCGCTGGTTGTTGAGGCCCTTTAGCACCGTCGGGATGATCACCACCTGCTCGTGCGGCCCGGGGCCGCAAGCGCCGCTGTTGCCGACGCCGATGCCACACTCGACGCGAAGCCGTTTGCGCCGCACGAGCACGTGCGCCGCATGCGCACGTCTGCGCGCTGCACATCTGCCGGTAGCTCACCTGTCCGGTCCACCGCCACTTCGCTCAGTGGTCAAAACTCCTTTCACTAAAAGGGGTATGCGTAAACGTAAAGCCGTACGTTTGTGCATGCGTCATGCGAGCTTTTCTGAGGGTCAAGGTGAAACCGCCAGAGACGGTCGTTTCAACGCAAAAAAAACACCTTGGGCCGTCTCAAGCGGCCTTCCGCCTCTGCCGCCGCCGCGCAGCAACGACTCCGCAGAGGGCGACGAGTCCGCAGAGCAGAAGAAGCGGCACGGCGGAGACGGCGGCGGCTGTCTCGCCTCGCCAAGGCCACACGCGGGGTGGTTGGTGGCCAAGCGCGTCGCCGCCCGGCGCGTCGCTGCCCGGCGTGTCTTGCCCCGCCGGCAAGGACCTCGACGTGACCACTCCGTCGACCGAGCAGCCGCGTAGGGTGAGGGTGGCCTTCGCGCCGACGGGCCGCTCAAGCACGAGGTCGAAGGAGACGACGCCTGCTCACAGCTGCAGGCGTGAACAGACGCGGTCCACGCCTCGCCCGCGGAGGTCGAGGGGGGCCGCGCCGCAGTTGCTCAACTTGGTGTGCTCCGATGCGAGGGAGGCGCACGCGCCGTCGGCCGCGCCGCCGTCCCACCGGAGGCCAGCGACCACGCCGCCGCTCCCACCGCCGAGGGCGAGGGGCACGGACAAGCGTGCCGCATCCTGGCCCGTGCTGAAAGCCCACAGCAGCTCTCGCAGCAGCCGAGAGTGACCGGCGATGACGCCGCCGCCAGCCGCGCCGCCGCCGGAAAGCAGCTCCGAGCCGACCGCGCCAAGCCGGGCGAGAAGCGGGCGGACGGCCTGAGTGATGGAGCATGAGCCAACTGAGTGACTGAAGATTTGACTGCAGATTGGGCGGGCAGCGGGCGGGCCGCCTGCGGGAAGAGGAGGAGTGGAGAGGGAGGCGTGGGGAGAGGAGAGGTGCGAGGAGAGGGGGGAGGTTGAGGAGAGGGTGTGTGGGGAGAGGGGAGCGTTCGGAGAGCGGGTTGTGGACAGGGGGGGGGGAGGGGTCGTGGAGAAGGAGGTATGAGTAGGAGGAGGAGCAGGGGCGACGGCATCTCGACTGCATCTCGCCTGCATCTCGAGTATCTCGACTGCATCTCGACTGCATCTCGACTGCATCTCGACTGCATCTCGACTGCATCTCGACTACATCCCGCCTCGCCCAGCGCGGCATCGTCCAGCTCGACCACCCGCGCCTGAGGTCAGGGCAAGGCTAGACTCACCCATACACACGCGAGGCGGCGGGGCAAGGGCCAGGGCAAACCCTCGCGACTCGACGTCTCAAGGGAGGAGGCAAAGTGCCAGGGGAGACATGGGGGAGACATGGGGGAGACATGGGGAGGTTATGGGGAGACAGGGGGAGACAGGGGGAGACAGGGGGGGGGGGTATGGGGAGACATCTCGAGTCCAACCCATCGCTAGTCAGCCGGCTACACCTCGGCTGTCTCTCGGCTCCATCTCGGCTGTCTCTCGGCTGCATCTCGGCTGCCTCTCGGCTGTCTCTCGGCTGTCTCTCGGCTGTCTCTAGGCTGCATCTCGCCAGTCGCAGCGCGTCGCTCAGCCGCCGTCGGTCGTCAAACACCTCTGGCTCTGCATGGCGCGGGTCGAGATGTAGCCGAGGGTAGCCGTCCTCCCTCAGCCACGCCGCGTCGGCGCCGCCGCTCGCGGCGAGGGCGCGTGCCTGTGGCGCGAGTGAGGCGTCGAGAGGAAAGGAGGTATGGCCGAGATGGGCGAGGGCAGTGGCGAGGGAGGCGGGCTCGCGGGCCGTGCGGAGCGGGCGCCTCTCGGACAGCACTTTTCGCCAAGCGGGGCGCTGGGCTGGGGCTGGGCGGCCGCGGCGAGGGAAGCAGACCGCACAGCTAGGGGAGATCGCCGAGAGATCGCCGAGAGATCGCCGAGCTAGGCGAGCTAGGCGAGCTAGGGAAGCCTGCGCGGCGAGCACAGTCCCGACGACGGAGTGGCGGGTCGCGCGCGAGAGAGCCTCCTCCGCCTCCGCCTCCTCGTGCGCCTCCGCCGTCCCCACCACGTGCCGCATCGCAGCCTCTGCCGACTCTCGCGCAGCCTCGATGGCCGCGGCGGCCGAGATAACCGGCGGCTCTAGGCGCAGGCCGGCCGCGAGCGGGAGCGGTCCGCAGTCGGCGTAGTGGCACGACTCTTGCAGCGCGGGGAGGACGGCGACACGAAGGTCTTCCCGCGCGTCGAGGAGGTGGCGGAGCGCGAGCAGCCCCGTGTCGACCGCGCGACGGAGGTTGCTGACGATCAGCGTGGGCGCGGCGCAAGAGCCGTCCGCCGCGCAGCGCAGCGCGGCCGCGAGCCCGTCCGAGCCCTCCATGAGACGCGCCCGGAGACTGATGGCCTGCCTGACGCCAGTCTCGGACAGCGGCGAGTCAGTGAAGCGGGGCTCTGCGGCAAGCGTCCGCACAAAGGACTCTGAGACGCCGCGCCGGCGGGCCGCCTGCTGCTCAGCGTTCCACTGCGACTCGCCGTGACGAATGTAGTGGACGCGGACCGTGGTTGTTGACATCTGCGCGCGAATGGTTACATGTACATGCACCGCCGGTGAGGGGGCAGGGAGGGGTGCCGTTGTCAGTGGAGAGACCACTTCACAGCCTTAGCACTTGAGCACTGGATAGGGTCGATTCCGCATGGTACGGGACCCCTCGATCGTCTCGCCCACCCTCACTGGTATGTTCATTGGGGGGGGTCATAACAAACACGGTACAGGATCGAGGTGCACGCTGCCGAAGCAGTGTCGTCCCCCCTGTTATTGAGAGAGAGAGAGATTTTTAGCAATACCAAACAACTCTAACACTCACACGTTATTGAGATGAAAATACCTCATGGCGTCGTGCGCTGGTTGTGAGAGCTTCACAGCTGTATGCCTTGCTCCTTTAGGTGCTCTTAGTATGTTCTGACTCATCCGTCCCTGACTGCCTGAGTATACACTCCCTTCCTATTGTCTTGTACTTGGCGTCCTGTGGGTGTGTTCACAGACACAGTCTTGTGTGAATTTCGGCGTCCGCCGAAATTCAAGGTCCGTCGGTCTCTTTTGACCGCGGCGTTAGAGAGTCTTTGCTTGTCATGCCTTTTGCCTTCTCTCTGGCGCTCGTCCTCGGGACCACCGGAATCTCACAAGTCGCCAACCCCAAAAGTGTCCTGCAGCCGCTGCGGCTCCAGGGCCACGAAGTCGAGGACGTGCTGTCGCAACGACGCGCTCGCCGCCGGCACCTCGTCGCCGGCGCCCGCCTTGGCCTGCGGGAGAGGTGGGGTGGTATGACCCCCCATCTGCCCACGCCCCGCAAGCCACCATCGTGCGCCCCGTGCGCACGCGCCGTGGCGGCTGGCGGGGACGGCGGGGACGATGGGGAGCGGGGTGGATGGGGGCTCACTAGCTTATCGATCCCCTTGAGATCTGCGAGCACGAGCTTGTTGATGTCCTGGCCCTTTTGCTTGGCCTCGCCCTCCAGCTCCTTGGCGGCCGCCTCGAGCAGCTCCTTGCGGATGGTCGCCTCCCAGCCGCGCGAAAGTTCCGACAGCTTGCTGAAGTCGCCCGATTCCGCCTGACAAAACGGCTCGCGGACAGCAATCTCCGGTGTGATGTGGGTCGGGCGGGATTGCGAGCTTCGCACCAGCTTGTTGAACTCGCTTGTCTGGCTGGCTCGCGTCCGCAGCGCCTCGAACTGGCCGTACAGCCGCTGGTCCTTGGCCTCGCGAGCCTTCAGCTTGTTGTACTCATCCATGGTCATGTAGCCCTTGCTCTTCTCCGCAAAAGCCGGCGCAGAGGCGCCTACCAGCGCAGCTGCCGCCGCGAGCGCAGCACCTCGGACCGCCTCGCGTCGTGACTGCGTGCTCGCGCGCACGTGCGCCAGCGCGGGTCGAGAGACGCGGACGCCCGCGGCCGGGCAGGCTGCGAGCGCAAAAAGGGTCGCGCTCACAAAGCTCGGCATTCTGCCCAAAAAAGAGAAATCCGCGCTGCCGCCGAAAAAAAACTTGCTGTTTTTTCTTTATAGGCGTCTGCAACTTCCAAGCTGCGTATTCTTGTATTATCGTCGAGTAGTACAGGTACTCCGTGGGGGCAGTGTGTATTCTCGTAACATGTGCGTATTTCACGTATCACTGGCTCCGAGTAGAAAAAGAAAGGAAACATATTTTATGTGTCCGTTAGCTCCGAGTAGAGGGGGCGGTCTGCTGCTAGGGGAAACCCGGAGCGCGGAGCCAACCCTCGGAGACCCGTGTGTACTTTACGGCCCTTTCCCTGCGAACGCGCACCCCCGGGGCTAGGGCTTTCTTGCCCGTAACCCGATGCCAATCATCCGGCCCGCTGGGTGCGCTTCTTCGCTCCCCGGCCCTGGATGTGCGGTTGATGACTGCACTCCAAGTGCTCCAAGTGCGCACTCACTTTGCTCACGTAAGCGCTCACCGGCGTAGAAGCAGCGACGAGGAGCAAGCTTCAGCAGGTCACGGGACGCTGCGAAAGAAGATGTGTTGCTACGTCGGCCTCCGTCCGGGGGTGCTGCAGCGAAGGCCACGCCGGGCACACCCCGAACGTTGGGACGGCCGACGCGACGCGGAGAAGAGGGCATAGCATCACCAAGCACAGCTTGCGGGATGGGCCTAGCGCCCGAGGACAACTCGAGCCACCTCTCGGGGCATCATCTCGCGGCATGGCAAGATGAGTCGTTCCTCGCCCCTGGTGCAGCGTGGTGCGTTTGGGCCAATCAAAGCTGCGACTCGGTCGCATAGCATCTTCTCTCCCCCGCATCTGAGCCCTGAGGCTGCCTGAGCCTCGCTAGAGAATTCCGGTCTAACACTCACACCGATCGGACCCGCTGGGCAGGCCGCCTCCGGGGCCCACGATGGGCGGGTTGAACAAGGCTTCGTTTTGAGATATGCGCGAGGGCGCCCGTTTCCGCACTTGCTCATCCGCTTGGTGTTGCAGGTGAAGTCTCCCATGGCCGTGGAGCGCGAGGACATGAACTTCCTAAAACCGAACGAGACGGTGCCAAGGGCACGGCCAAGAGCGCGCTCCGCCAGTCCCCAACGCATGACCGCCACGGGTCGCAGGTGCTCGGCAACATTCTGCTCAACGACTCCAAGGCACGTCAGAGCCATGGCCTGTTCACGCCGCACCCGATGCCGCACGCGTGGCCGGTACATACAGGCGGACCTGCGTGACGACAAGCTGGCAGGCAACGTCCTGCGGGCCAACGCCACCGAATACATCTTCTGGGATCCGTCCAAGGCGGGCCTGCGACGTGCGAGAGCGCTCGAGGGTTGTCCTGTCATTGGCGAGTGAAGCTCGGATGCGTGTGGCTTCTCCAGGTCAAGGCCGCGATGGTGACATGCGGCGGACTCTGCCCGGGGTGCCCACCGACTCGCCGCGCGTGTTCCGCTCCCTCACAACGTACAATCGGCTCTCCTCGGATAGGCGAGCACGCACGCGCAATCAATCGCGTGACAGTGGCAGCATCCGCAATCTCACTCGCTTCCAACTTCACGTAGGTTAAACTCGATCATCCGCGGCGTGACGCATTCTCTGTATTATGACTACGGCGTCGTGACCCCGGGGCACATCATTGGTGCCACCGGCGGGTACAATGGCCTTTCGGAGCCTGACGAGCATGAGATGATAAATCTGACGCCCGATTACGTGCGCGAGATCCACATGAAGGGCGGCTCGATTCTCAAGGCAGGGCGCGGCGGCTTCGATGCCCCCAAAATTTGCGAGGGGCTGAAAAAGATGGGTATCAACATGGTCTTTGTGATTGGCGGCGACGGCACGCAGTTTGCCGGCCATCTGCTGTACGAAGAGGCGAAGAAACAGAAGCTGCCCGTCTCGATCGTCGGCGTACCAAAGTCGATCGACAACGATGTGCTCTTTATCGACCGCACCTTTGGCTTCGACTCCGCCGTGGAGTCGGCCGCCACAGTGATACGCAATGCGTGGGTCGAGGCCTCGTCGTGCGAGAAGGCGTGCTCGGTCGTCAAGCTGATGGGGCGCGACGCGGGCTTTGTCGCGGCGCACGCAGCGCTCGCGTCGAACATCGTCGACGTTGTGTTGGTGCCCGAGGTGAAGTTCGAGCTCGAAGATGTCTACAAGCAAGTGGATTTGAAGATTAAACACAAAAACTTTGCCGTTGTGGTGGTCGCCGAAGGCGCTGGGCAGGAGTATGTCTCGACGGGTGCAAAGGACGCCACGGGCCACACGGTCTATGGTGACATTGGCGTCTTTATGCGCGACGCGATCAACAAACACCTCAAGCCTCAAGGAGGCCGCGCCTTCTACATCGACCCCTCGTACATCATTCGCTCTGTCCCCATCACCTCCACGGACCACATCTACTGCTCTCGACTCGCGCACGACGCGGTGCATACGGCGATGCGCGGCTACACAGGTGTCTGCGTCGGCGCGATCCACAACGTTATCTGCATGTTCAAGTCAAAGCTGATCGCGAGCGGAAAGAAGAAGCTCAAGGTGAGGGGCTCGACGTGGCAGTCGTGCGTCCAGAGCTGTCAAATGCCGGCTAGCCTGTCGGGAGCAAAGACGGCGGCGTCGGCGTGAGAGGAGCGCGTCGGTGTCCGCGCCCAGCGCTGGCCGCGCTCGTCCCCGTCGACCTCGCGGACCGTGTGCGGAAGGATCAAAAGGATCAAACGCGCGAGGTGAGGATCTCTCCACCTAGAATTTTGGAGAAAGCAGCCATTTTATTGTGCAAAACTGTGTGTGAAAGCCGCGTACACATACACATGTGACGAATAGGGGTGACAAACAACGTCGGGGGGCGTAGAGTTGCTGTGCCCTGTGCGAGAGCGAGGCGCGTTTGTCGTACCCCCGCAAGGCTGGAGCGAAAAAAAAGCAAGCGACTGGTCTCGAGATATCCCCTCAGTCCTCAGGCTCAGAGCCCTCGCTCGCGCGGCCTCTCGCACATATGTGACCACAGTAAACGTTACTTGTCTCGATTTGTCCAATCCAATCATTGGCAATGCCGCGCGGCGCCTACGCGAGCGGTTGCCGGTTCGGGAACGCCGCCAACAACAAACGAAAAGAAAAAGGATCGCGCATGCTTCTCCGGAGCCTCAGATCGCACGCGGCCTCCAACCACCCGCGCGGCTCCAGCCAGGATCGAGGTGCACCATGAGCATGCACGCCGTCGAGAGACCCCGTAGGGTAGACCGGACGGGTCGGACTCCGATCATTCATCACCTGGCTGGCCGATGTGTCATGGCTCTTCTGGCTCTTAGACATCTTCATCCGGTAGGCCATGGTTGGCTGGTGGTAGCTAGCGCGCGGGGCGGGCGTGCTCCAAAAGAAGAGTTACGGTCAAAAAGAAACACCATTACTCCTGTGAAGCTGTGTAGGGGCGTGTACACGACCAGTACTACCTCAGTCGCCAACGCACGACACACACACCATCACTAACAACCAAACTCTCTGGTCTCTCTCAGACTCAGTCTCTCACACACTCGAGAGAAGAACGAGACAGCACACTAGCTGTTTTCCTGTTAGCCGCTGGTATTAGGGGCCGCGCTGCCGGCGCCGAGCGTCACCTGCCTCCACGTCTCTTCCTCTAAGGAGAGGAGAGGCTCGGCGTCCGGGTAGCCGTCGTACTCGACCGCATCCACACGAGCCGGCCGCCCGAACCCTCCTCCCGCCACGTGATGGTGGCCGACCACCACCCCTGCTCGCCTAGGATCTCGACGTGCGTGCCTGTCTCGACGACAGCGTGCCCGGCCATCCTCGCCGTCGCGTCCAAGCGCAGCCGCTCCGCCGCGCCTCCTGCGTCTCTCCGCGGGCTGCCGCAGCACGTAGTGTCGGCCGTACTCCGCCACGCCCGCGAGGACGTCAGCCGCTCACCGTCTCGACCGCCGCCTCGATTGGCGGAGGGGCTCGACCCGTCGTTCCGTGACCTACCGCGCCAGCGAGGGCTCCTGGTGCGCCGCCCGTCGGTCGACGCCCTCGCCCCTGCGCTCCACCAACGACGCCGTCGCTGTCCTCGGGAACCTCGCCGACGTGACCCCGTGATTCGAGGCCGCCCATCGCCCATTGGATGCAGCCGAGATGCAAAATCCAAAACCGCCGTTTTTTATGAAATACGAGCCGTCCCCCCCTGACCCCCCCCCTTGGACGCGTCCACCCTCCGTCCAACATTCGCGATCCCTCTTTTACCTCACACAACGCGGGGTGTATGCAGCAAAATTATGGGGGGTTATATGCCACAGGCACAGCCTCTCACCACTCAGAGGTTCACGAGAGTACAACTCAGGCACATTTTTTTAGCTCGGCGGCGCTCAAACGGGCTCAGCCAAGCAATGGCACCCTTCAGCACACTCAGCCTCAATAGGTCCAGCTCTGATACAGTGACGGAGTGTGGCAGAGTGTGGTTGAGTGCGTGTGGGATATCACACCGGTCTCGCTGGCTGCACGTGGCCTCAGCACACGAACTCGGCCACACTCGGCCACACAAAGAGAGTCAAGTGAGATGGAGCCTAGAGCTCTGCAGCTCTCGCCCACAGTCAACCACGAGGAAGATCGTCTCGACCTGTTCGAGGGCGGATCTCTAAAAAAGCAAGTTCACTGTACTGGGCTGGGTGGACACCAGTGGGTGTGGGGCCACAGCCAGGATACACTCGAAGGCTGGGTAAGCAGTAGAGGTCGATACTCGGCGCGTCCCACATGGTCTGTGTCGCTGTCGGCACGCTGTCGACAGGACGTCGAGCGACACCGGTGGCAGTGCCACCCAGGAGTGGTCGGGCGGTCTCCCGTCATGAGAGAGCCACCATGTGATCCGTATGATGGTTCCTGACAACCGCCTCAGTCAACTTTCGTCACAGTTCCCGCTCTGAGAGGAGCTGCGGGTCAGTTCGACAGCTGGCGCTGTGTCGCCGGCGTGCGGCGGCCTGCCTCCGGAGGTGCCTCTGAGGTGGACATTTCTTGGTCACCGTGAGAGAACGCGTTCGAATTTTTACTCCGGAACTTCAACTCTGCACGCGCACCGGCCAGGGCTTCCGCATTTCGAACCACCAAAACTCGCGGCACCCAGGTGCCGGTGCCAGTGCAGGTGCCACAAGTTTGCGCCCGGCCCTCTAGCGCCGCGCGCTGGCCCCGGCTGCGTCCCCGCGCGGCCTGCCCGACGGCGTGGCGCCCGCCCTCCACCCACCTCCCCGCGCGGGGCCGCTCCGGGGCGACCCGGGCGCCCTCCCTCCGACCAAACTGCTCTATTACTTTCATATAACAATAGTGCCAGTGAGGCGAAGGCGCGAGTCGGAAGGCCGCGACCGTCAAGTGTTCCCCTCATTTTCCTACAATCGCTGTGAACCCAGCCACGTAGAAACAAGAAAGGTGAATAAACCGTCGCCAACCTGAACCTCCCAAGCCTCGCCCCCACGACGCACGAGAAGCGCCGCACAAATGGGGCGGGCGGGGGGAGTCCCCTGTGTGTAGTCGCCGCTAGTACCGCGCGATGAGGGTGCCGAGGACGATGTGCACCCCATCGATCCGAGAGTGTCGCATGCCGCACAGACGCACCCACCGACACGCCCCTCACCCGCACGCACCACACCCAGGCGTCCCGCCCGCCCGATGTGCCGTCGCCGACCCACCAAGGACTAGGCGAGTCCGAGAGCCCATTGCCGACCAACTCGCCTGAGCGGTGGGAGAGCCAGCCAACTGCCGCCGCAACGGTGAATGCTCGGGGTGGCTGTGTCTTACCGCGCCGCACTCTGAGCCCTAGAGCTTCGCGGCGGCGGCTTGAATCTCCTCCGAGATTTCGATTTTGTCGGCCGAGGATTGGTAGCTGTCCAGCGTGTCGAAGTTGAGGTACTTGTACACGTCGGCGGATTTGCTGTCAACCTTCTTCCACTCCTCCAGGTACTCGGCCGGCGTCGGCAGCCTGCCTTTGATGGCCGCCACCGCCGCGAGCTCTGCGGAGGCGAGGTAGACGTTGGCGCCCTTGCCCAGCCGGTTGGGGAAGTTGCGCGTGGAGGTCGAGACGACCGTCGCCTTGTCCGCCACGCGCGCCTGGTTGCCCATGCACAGCGAGCAGCCCGGCATCTCGGTGCGCGCGCCCACCTTGCCGTAGATGGCGAAGAAGCCCTCCTCGGTCAGCTGCGCCGCATCCATCTTCGTCGGCGGCGACACCCACAGCCGCGTGAGAGCCCGCCCTCAACTTCGTCGAGCATCTTGCCGGCGGCGCGGAAGTGGCCGATGTTGGTCATGCACGAGCCGATGAACACCTCGTCGATCGGAGTGTTGGTCCCGTCGCCGTGAGGGCCCTTGAGCGCATCACTCAGCAGCACCGCGTCGTCGGGGTCGTTCGGGGCGCACAGCACAGGCTGGCGACGGCGGCGGCGGGGAGGGGATCAGAGAGGCGACGGCGGGTCCAGAGGCGGCGGCGCGGCGGGGTTCGGAGGTGCAGCGCGGCGGGCGCCTCTCACGCGAGGACATCTCCGTGTGCGAGCTGAAGTCTCAAAACTGTCTCGGAAGGGTCTGGGGTGTGTCTCGGAAGGGCCGAGCACCTCGGTGATCTCCTCGAGGGGAATCTCGATCGTCGTGTGGTACGTCGCGCTCGCGTCGGCCGCCATGAGCTTCGGCGACGGGGCGTCGAGCCAGTTCTGCATCGAAGCGGCGCGCCGCTGGAGCGTCCTCGGGTCGCCGTAGCCCTCGGACACCATCCACTTGAGCATCGTGATGTTGGAGGTGAGGTACTCGGAAATCGACTCCTCGCCGACCTTGACGGCGCAGCCAGCGGCCGAGCGCTCGGCGGAGGCGTCGGAGAGCTCGAAGACCTGCTCGCACTTGAGGCCGTCGATGATCTCGCCCTCAATCTCGAGCACCTGCCGCCGGCGAGCGAGGGGAGGGGGGGGGGGTGCACGCGAGCGGGATGTCGGAGCCCCCCTCGCCCGCCCCCTTGCCCTGCGCGATGTACTTTTCGATCACGTCCTTGCAGCCGTCCTGTTGGCCGGTGAAGAAGCCGTCTGCACGGTCGAACTTGAGCATCGCCTGTTCACGGCACGAGGCGTGAAGAGGCACGCCTCGCGGACGGTGTCGACGCACGAGAGGCGGTCATCGCCAACGCATGCAGCGGGATGTCGGGACGCGACCACGCGTCTGGCGCGGGGGAGAGGTCGTCGGTGTTGGTCTCGCCCGCAACCTTTGAGAAGAGGGAGGGAGGGGGGTGGGAGGGAGAGGGAGGGGGGGCGTGAGCGGGGGAGGGGGTGAGAAGAGAGGGAGAGAGAGGGGCGTGAGAAGGCGATGCTCGTGAGAGGGAGAGAGGAGGGGGCGAGAGGCCTTGAAGACGGTGAAGGTCAGCTTCTCCTTGACCTCTGGCTTCGAGGTGAACCACTCCGCCGCGGCCCACGACTCGATGACCTTCTTTGCGTACTCGTTGCCCGCATCCATCTTCGCCTTGACGTCGTGGAACGCGTCGAACACCAGGATCGTGTGCTTGAGCGCCGTGCAAGCCGTCTCTGCGACCTCGGCGTCCTCGAGCGCGTCTGTTGCAAGCCAGCGGGGCGTGAGGCAGGGCCGGGGAGGGGAGGGAAGTGCGTCGCAAGGAGGGGCCGCCAGGGAGCGTCTGGAGGGTGCGGTGGCGGCGCTCCATCCGCCCTCTCGCATGCGGGTGAGCACGTGGGAGTGGCAGGTTGAGGACGCGCGTCACCGATCAGCGGCGCGATGTTGTATCCCCCCTGCATGGTGCCGAGCAGCTCGACCGCCTTCTTCTTGCTAATGAGGTCGTTCGTCTCCGTCCCTTTGGCGAGGGCCGCCAGGTAGTCCGCCTTGACGTACGCCGCCTGCGCCCAGACAGCACATCGCCTCAGCCTCTCTGCCTCTCCGCTTGCCCCGACTGCGCCCCCGGGGGGTACGGGCGGCGGCGGGCGGCGGCAAACGGCGGGCGGCGGGCGGCGGGCGGCGGGCGGCGGGCGGCGGGCGGCGGGCGCCTCGTCGACGCCGGGCGGCACCCGGTGCTCGAGGAGCGCGAGGAGCTTCGGGTCTTGCGACGTCTTCATCTCTTCGATGAGCGACGCGGTCTGCGTGGCGTCGAGCGGGAGCGGCACGATGCCCTGGGAGTGCGGCCACGGCGGCGTGAGCGGGGTAGGTTGTCGTCGTGCGAAGGGCATCGAGGGAAAAGAGGGCATGTCCCACGGTGCTGCGAGCTGCACGCGGGATTCGTGTATGCAGTGGGGCCGCGGCCGGAGAGGCGTGCATGCAACATGTTGTGCACGCGCATGTGTGCAAGTGTCCGGAAGAGTGGCCGCGGAACGCATCACTGGAGAGCGTGTGCCGGGCAGATCGCGCCTGAGCAGCGCGTTCCGCCTTGTGGGCCTCGTAGGAGGTCATGAACGAGGACGCGGCACGGCGGCTGAGACCCAGCGGCCCGCGCGTCAGGGAGCGCAGCGTGCGGGCCCTCAAGCTCCTGCTAACGGTCCTCATGCTGCGAGCGGCCTGCGCAGGAGGAGACGCGTCCCGAGTGGGAAAGGGTCGGCCCCCAACTGGTGGGGCGGGGGTGGTCCTCGAGTGGGAGCGGCGCAGACCAAAGACGGGAGAGGCCGCGGCGCCGACGCCGAAGAAGTCGCTCGTACCGTAATCACAAGCACGCTTTCTTTTTCGTGTATCTTCCCCCCCCCCTTTTCGTGCCAAACTAGCGGATCTCAGCCCGCCGATCTCCGCTCGCGCCGGCCGCCCATGCGCTCGCGGGGCTTCCCGACGGGGCGGGCCTCGTGCTGATGGACCCAGCCGAGGTGCCCGACCAGCCCTCTCAGTTCACGAGGTGAACCGTGAACCCGGTTCATGAACCAGTTCGCGGTTCACGGTTAGTTCACGGTTCGCGGTTCACGGACTCGGGGCGGGGGCTAGTCGGTTCACGGTTCACGGTTCGGCCCGACGCTGCCCCGCCTGGTTCGTTCACGGTTCGCGGTTCGCCCTTTTGTCCTGCCTCGGTTCGGGTTCACGGTTCAGAGTTCACGGTCGGAGAACCACTGAACTAGTTCGTGAACCAAGCTTATTTTCACACCTCTTACACACCGACACAGTTCGAGAGATTTTTAGCAATACCAAACAACTCAACTTTGGACGGACGGAAAAACACCCCCCTTTTATGCCTGACCCTGGCCATGGCCTCTCTGAGCGGTTTGGGAGCACAAACCTCTACTTTAGAGCGATTTTTGGCGTCCGCTGACCTCTCGCGTGGGGAAAATATTCTCAATATTCGAGAATATTCTCGAGAATATAGATGGTCTGGCGAGAATATAAGCAAAAGAATATAGATAGTACTTGGCGAGAAAAGCGTGCTTAGGCTAACGGGTGCATGCGTGATGGCGGCCAGCACGCTAAGATGCACAACACACCTGTGATCTATCGTTTGCAGCAGCGTGATACCAATGTAGTGGTTGTGACGGCTGCCTCCATGGGAGAAGCAAGTCTGCAGAGGCTGCTGGGAACTAATAGATAGTGCAGTCCGAGCTGCCGAAGGCGACTCGCCGGCCGACTCGCGGTGGCGCGGCTTTTGGCCCGGCGGAGATTGCAGCCAGCGCGATGAATGGACCCTGCGGGGAGGCGAGGAGACGGGCGAGCTGCGACGGCTGAGGAGGCCTGAGCCGCTGCGGACAGAGGCCTGCACGCGACCAGCGTCATCGTCAAACCAAGTTTGTCGCTCCGGTGCGCATTTTTGACGCTTCAGAGCGCATACTGTCCCGTTTTGCTGTTCACAGCTAGGGACGGCCTCTGCGGCAAAGTCAAATCACCCCCACCACCACCTCCCTCCCTCCCTCCCTCCCACAGGCAAACCTTCGGCTCCCGCTCAGAGGCTCGCCGCGCCCGTGCTGCGCGCCGAGGCGGCGCCGAGGCCGGCGCCTTGCACCCGGCCCGCGGCCGGCACCGCCTCGCCCCACAACTGACCGCCCTGCGGCCCCTGCGCAGGCGTGCCGCAGGCGTCGCTCAAAAAGCGACGCCGGGTGTGGGCTGCTCCCTTGACCCGTCACCCGCCGCGCCCTCGCCCGGCCGCCTCACCGCTCACGGAGCGATCGGCTGCTCGCCGCCGCCGCCGCGCGTCCCGCGCCGCCACGCATGCCCCTTGCCCTGACGCGCGCGCTCTGCAGCGGCAGAGCGCGCGTCTGTCACAGACGGAGCAGCGACCGCGCCAGCGGTCGCTGCTCCGCCCCTCCGTCGCGCGCGCCGCGCGCGCGCTGCCGCCGCCGCCGCCGCCGCCGCCGCCGCCGCCGCCCCCTCCTCGCCGTCTTCCCCACCCTACCCTCTGTTGCGCGCGCGCGTACGCCGCGCGCTGGGCGCCCCCGCCCCCACCCCCGCCCCCGCCCCCGCCCCCGCCCCCGCTCCCAAGCGCCCCTTCCCCGGTAGGTGTGCGTAGAAAGTGGAACCAATCGAGAGGTCGCAGAAGCCGCCGTGTGTGACACATATTGCGGCACGTGGCGGTGAGACAGAAGCCCCGGCGCGGGGCGCGCGCGCGCTGGCCGCTGCTGCGCCGTGCGCGGTGCGCGCAGCGCGGCGCAACAGGCGTTTTTTATGCAAACAGCAAACGGGACGGCCTGCGCAGCCTCTAACTATTTATGACGCGTCAGGGCACATTTTTGACGCTTCAGAGCGCATTTTTGACGCTTCAGGGCGCATTTTTGACGCTTCAGAGCGCAGTTTTGACGCTTCAGTGCGCAGTTTTGACGCTTCGGTCTCAATTACTGTTTCGGCGCGGCAGTCATTATTTTTTACACGGCACGGAGACCCGCGCTGTGAGCATCTCAGCCTCTCATAGACCATCGCACAGCGCAATGAAAACAAGGCCGACCCTCACAGCTCACAGCTCACGGGTCTGTGAACGTATCACCATCTGTGAAACCAAGAGAATCATCCACAACTTCGCCAAGAGGTCGGCAGCCCGAGCGCCGTCGACCGCACCGACTACGGCACAGCCTTTGGCAGCGCCCGGGGCTTCGTCGCCAGCACCACTCGCAACAGCTCTCGCGCGCCGCCGTCTGTGGCGACGCGCAGAACATCAACAACAAAACTCGGATTCACGTAGACAAGGAGCGCGCGCCAATGGCCGCCTCCGTGACACCCTCCTGGGCCGGCGCGGGAGTTTTACTGCCGAGTTTCTCCCGGCCGGCCGCCTCCTGACACGCCCACTGACCGAGCCCATCGAAAAAATTCGGCGCGCCGCACTGCTCTGACCCCTGCTCGCCCCTGCTCGCCACTGTCGCCTCGGTTGCCGAGGCTGCCGCGCACCCGCACGCCCGCGTCGCTGCGCGACTACGAACTGCACCAGCTGGGCTCGAACCAACGACCAAAACGTCCCCGACCCGAACGCTGCACCAACTAGGCCACGCCGCAGGCTCGATTTGCAATACGCACAAAACTGGCCGCTCATAAACCACTACTCATTTGCCGAGGCCACGCGGCGCCCCTCCACAGCCAGCCTACCCTCCTATCGCGCCACTCGAAGCCCCGCGGCCGCCTCTCGCCTACCGCGCTGCCCTCGCCTGCCACCGCACCGCCCGCGCTCCAGCCTAACCAGCTCTGCATCTCGCAACACACACTTGACAGGGACAGACCAGGCGCAGGAAAAGGGAGCGGGGCCCGAATCCAAGGGACCACCCCGTCGGGCGGAGGAGCTGTGAACTCAGGTCCAGCAGGAAGGCTGCTGGCTCCTGACTCATCCCCCAAATCCCCCACACCTTGGCGGCCTGAAACCTTACCATTCCGACACCTCACACACACCCCTCCCCTAGGGCTAAGCAGTGCGCGAGCCCACCCGACTTCAGGCGAGACGTCGACCACTCCTCGGGAATAGTTCTGTCAGTGGCTGCACTAGACGCCCACAGAGGCGCGCGGCGCGGGCAGATGACTAGGGGAGAAAAAGCGGAGAACCTAGCTCGCTGGGAGATGTGCGCAAAAAGACGGGAATAGGGGAGAAGTGTCAGTGTGAGGGGAGGGCGTAGGCTGGCGTTTTTGCCTTTGAAAACTGAACAGTTTTTTAAACATCAACAACGCTGCTCGCAACATGCGTGTCGCGCACTCATTCATGACCGGTCTCAATGCCCCACCCCCCTGCGCGCGGGCCTTCTAGGCCCGCGGGTAGTCTCCCCCCATCCCCAGGGCCTCCAGGGCTCGCACCTCAACCTCTCACAGACCAGCGCATAGCGCCATAGGACGTATTTTCTTCTCATAACAAGGCCACCGGAGCCGCCTATGATACTCCTGCGAGGAAGGCGAGGCACTTAGGTCCGTGACCGAAACACAAACATCGACGACACGCAATCTCAGGAATGCTGCTGCCCCTGCCCCTTCGCCGTCGGGGGGTTGATGGAAAAGATCAGCGAGACCTCGAGAGAGTAGTGCCGAAGGCGCTCTTTTTGATCGAGCTGTGAGAGCTCCGTCGGAGCTGCAATCAACGAACCCCCCTCGCGCTCAGGTTTTTGTGTTCGTGAGTCCAGGTTTTTCCGCTCCCTCTCGCGCTCTCCCCGCCGCACCACGCCACCAATGGGCGCCGCGAGCTGCACGCCCAGTACCCCCGCGACGCCTGCTGCTCGCGAAACCCGCCGCTCCCGCACCGCTCCCGCCATACGATGCACGCTCCCCCAACACCACAGGTCTCATCTCAGTCTAGCGACCTGCCTCCAGCTTCTCCACTGGCAGTCTCTCGCTACCACAGGCACACTGACAGGGGCGGCCGAGGCACACGCCGAGGGTGGCAGGGGCGGTGTGTGCACGTGTGCTGCCTGGCCAGTTTTTTCTCTTCCGTTCCCGTTTGCGACAGGTTCCCCTCAGGTTCCGGAGCTCGGTCAACCTCGCCGAGCATCGCCTCGCACGAGTTGGTCTTGTCTACACAGCCAGGTTGTCCTGCAGCTTGTGCCCGCCCGCGCGCGGCGAGCCTCTCTGCGCACCACTCCAGATACGGGCTCTCGCCCTGGCCGCGCGCCGCCCTTTTGCCTCGCGACACAGCGCACGTCAGCCGGAGCGCTCCGCCCGACGCCCGCGCTGACCTTGACCCTGTTCCCCCTGCCTCGCTCCGCAGGTGTGGGTCGACGGCGCGGAGCAGCGGCCGCCCGCCCGCGTCCCCCGCCCCCGCCCGCCCGCCCCCGCCACGCCGCTGCATGCGCGCCGCCGCCCCGATGTCCCACACCCTCGCCGGCGGCGCGCCATCTCTGCGGGCCGCGCCGCCGCCTCCTCCCCTCCACCCACACTGCGCCGCCTGCGCTTGGGCGCGTCGCTCGAGTGCCCTCACCGCCTGCCCCTCTCCGCTCGCAGGTACGGCCACGGCCGGTCGAGCAGTCCCTCGAGCCGCGCCCCCTCATCCTGCCTCCGCCTCGCCACAGCCACCCGCCGTCGCGCGCGCCCTGGCCTTGATGGCCCGGCGAGTGCTGCAATCAGAGAGAGCACTCTTGCAATCAGCGAGGGAGATTACCCGGGATATCTTCCCCCGATCCTTCCC